CTACTTCCATAGTGATACTGCCTCGGAAACCCAAGGAGGGGTCGCTATGAGTCGGGTTGGACTCGACAGCACATAACAACAACAAGCACTTACAGTGATGCCAGATGTATTTTGAGTGCTTTACATGTATTCATTTAATTTCATAGCAGCCCTATTTTGAGGTAGGAACTTCTTTAACCTCTGCTTTACAGATGAGGAAAACTCACATAGAGGGTAAGAAACTTGTCTAAGGTCACATACACCAAAAACCAAAAAACCAAACTCACTGCCATCGAGTTGGATCCGACTCATAGCGAACCCTCCTTGGATTTCCAAGGCGGTACCTCTACAGAAGTAGATTGCTCAGTCTTCCTTCTGAGGAGCGGCTGGTGGGTTTAAACCACCAGCCTTCTGGTTAGCAGTCAGATGCCTTAGGCACTACGCCACCAGAGCTCACAAGGTCACATATAGAAGAAGAGCCCCTTTTAAACCTACATGGTTTGGCATCAGAGCCCATGTGTTAACCACTTATAAAGTGACTAAATTGGCTTTTAAAACATTCTGGAATTTTCCTAGAGTATTAAATATACTATCAAAAGAACTTAGAAATGTAGTGCATCAGATGTAAGTGCTTGGTTTCATTCTGTTACCTTGTTATGTGGTGATATTTTGGGATTGCACGATGGAAGTGGGTGGTGAAAGGTGGTACCGTACAATGGATGTTGACTATTGTCATAAGTATGCCTCGTAATGATGTTTTAAGAATCTGAATGATGTAGAAACAAGAAAAAAAAACTGAAAACTTTCATTTTAAGATGCTTCATCCCTATTATCCTTTTAAAAGTATGAAGACATTTTTCCTTTGTAACTTTATGTATTATAGTCTTGGTCAGTCTAGTTATTGGAGAAGAGATGTGACATGGTACCAGTACCAATTACTGTCAAGTTAGTTCTGACTCACAGTGACCCCATGTGTGGCAGAGTAGAACTGTGCTCCGTAGGGTTTTCAGTAACTGATTTTTCAGTAGTAGATCACCAGGCCTTCCTCTGAGCTGCTTCTGGTAGGACTCAAGCCACCAGCCTTTTGGTTAGCAGCTGAATCTGTTAACCATTTGCAACACTTACTTCATTATGAATTGATCTTGGAAATAAAATAGTGAAATTATACTGGAAAAATAAAACTGAAGAACTGAAAAAAAAATTTTTAACTGTAATTATATTCTCTCTCTGAACTTTTCCATCATCATTCTGTCTCATACTGATTTAAGGCTACCTAAATATTTTTTTAAACTTTATATGGTTGAAAATCCTGCACAAAAATGAAAGTGAAGGAAATCATATAGTGAACCCCCATTTACCCACCACTCAACCTCAGTAATCTCAACTCAGGGGCATCCACATTTCAAGGTTTGGTTCCGTCTTAAGTACTTCACTGCTGCTCAGTGCTATTTTAACCTTTTCACTGGTGTCCTTTCTTCTGCTCTTGTTCCCCTAATGTCTTTTCTCCACCCTGCAGCCAGAATGATCTTTTTAAGTCAAGAAGCAGATGGTGCTCCTTCTGTGCCAAAAATATTTTTAACAGCTTTCCTTTACAATTAGAATATAATTTTTTATCATTGCTTACAAGCCTGCGGAACCTTGGTTAACCACTTGGCTGCTAACCAGAGGGTCAGGAGTTCGAACTCAGCACCTACTTCACAGGAGAAAGACATGCCACTCTGCTTCCATAAAGATTTAAAGTTTTAGAAGCCCTGTGGTGCAGTTTTCCTGTGTTGTATATGTGGTCGCTATGAGTCAGAATCAACTCGATGGCAATTAATTAAATGAGTTGTAAGCCTGTACATGATCCTGTACCTGACAGCCTCTGACCTCATTGCCTTCCACTCCTCCCCTTGCTCATACTGCTGCACTTGCTTTTTCTTTCCCTTGCTTAGAATGCTTCTGCCCCCAATAGTCTCAGGGCTTTCTGTTTCACTTCATTTAGGTTTCTATTCAAATACTACCTCCTTGGAAGGCCTTCTCAAACTACTGATCCCAAATTATCCCCTTTCATTACTTAATATACTTTCATTATATCTCTCTGTATTTTTTAATACTCAAATATGTCACAGAGGGGGACATGATATGATTATGTCCTTCTTGTTTTGTTTTTCAACTATCCCACTAGAATGTAAGCTGCTTATGGACAGGGACTTAGTAACACTCATAGTAGGTGTTCAATAAATGCATGAATGAATGCAGACTACAGAAAGATTGTTCTTACCAACATAATGCAAAAGTGGAATGTTTAGGCATCAACTTTAGAAGACAGCAAAATTTATTTATTTCCAAATCAGAAATAATATATATCTGTATGTTATCTGTCTGTTCATATACCTATGTAATAACATACTTATGTATTGGATGTAGAATTGCCTTGTGCAATTTTCTTTTGTTCCTCCATGTTTTTTAACATGCATTTACACCTCTTAAGAAAGTTTACTATGAGAAAATGATGATGAGTATAAGGCCTCTGTTGAAATGACTCTGCTTTAAAAACACTGTATTTAGTTTTACCTAACTGGTATAGAGAAGAGTTGATAGACTAGGTTTTAGCAATCCTTATCAGCTCCAACCCTCATGAGTCTCATTCTGTGCCTAGCATAATTCTAAGCACATAGTTGGTGGTTCGGTAAATGTTGGTTGATTAGTTGACTCGTATCTCTCGCCTAGAGTCTAGGACAATAATTTTCAGAATATTTAGGACTATATCTTATTCATAATTGTATCCTTAGGTACCTAGCAAATGTAGAATGAGTGGAAAAGTGGGCACTCAATGTATGTTCTTGTAATCTCCTACAAGGAGCCCTGGTGGTGCTGTGGTTAAATACTTGGCTGCTAACCAGAAGATTGGTGGTTCAGACCTACTCCACAGGAGAAGGATGAGACAGACTGCATCTGTAAAGATTTATAGCCTTAGAAACCCTATGAGGCAATGCTACTCTGTCCTATAAGGTCACTATTAGTAGAATCAACTTGATGGCACTAAGTTTGTTTTTTTTTTTGGTTTGGTAATCTCCTACATGCTGAATTTCCTTACTTAATTGGTCACCTATGGGAAAGAAAATGTTTCTTTAAATATTACCCTTTAGACTGTATATATGAAAAAGAAAAATCATTTCACTATTGTTTGTTTTCACTATCATTCATTTTGCTTTGATTTCACTATCACTTTTCTTGGATAACCACAAAATTGTTTATTTAATAAAAGAACTTTGATTACCTACGTATTTGTGGCATAATGATGGAAATTAAGTCAATGCCACCAGTCAGTTTCTATGGCCTTCAAACTAAAAATACTATTAGATATTAAGTGGCTAATATTGTTTAATATTTAAAAATTTAAAACATATTATATGCTATATAATATAAAACTCACATAAAAAGAGACTTAAGGAAATGTTAGTTCTCCCCATTCCCCCAGCGTTAGGGTTGAATATTTATTTCCCTCTGCGTTTTCATGGGGAGGGGAGGGTTCCTCGGGTATTGAAATTTGGGATTCACTGCACCACTCTGAATAATACCTAGAATTTTATTGAAGTGGATGGATATGGCAGCCATGAAGTTTCACTTTGTAACTACAGGAGCATAATTGGTGCCAGGTGCTGAAATCCATCACTGTGCCCAGGCCACATTTCCAATGAACTGCTCCCAGCCAGTGACTAAGCACTGCAGGGACACTAAGGCAGGCCTGTTCTTGGAAGATATAGGGCTTCTCTGATTTGCAGTTTTGGCTTGGGGACTCCCAAGTAGCCTTGCCAAATTTCCCTTAAACTGTACAGTGGTCTAGGAAACATCCACCCAACCTTTTAGTTCTCCCTTCTTCCCATGGATCTTGGATCATGGTTTAAAGGTTCTCTTAGTCGCTCCTGGCTTCCTTCCTTTTTTTCTTCTCAGAGGCATTTTGCCTAGAAAATTCCTTGCACATTTAATCCTGCCTTGGCCTTTGCTTCTTGGAGGACCAGACCAACAAAATGAGGTTGTTAAAGTAATCCCCAAAATAAAGTGGCATCCATTAAAGTACAAAAGTTTTATAAGAGCTTGATATATAGATTATATAAACGGCTCGTATATATATGTGTATACATATATATGTATATATAGGAGCTCTGGTAGCGTAGTCCCTAAGGCACTTGACTGCTAACCAGAAGGCTGGCAGTTCAAACCCACCAGCCACTCTTCAGAAGGAAGGTTGGGCAATCTACTTCCATAGTGATAAATGCCTCGGAAACCTAAGGAGGGATCACTATGAGTGGGGTCTGACTCGATGGCATGTAGCAACACACACACACACACACACACACAGCCTGTTCATTTGTTTGCATACTGGACATTTATATTCTTTAGACTAGAGTCGTATCAAGGTATGTGGGTACATATAAGTGTGATTATAGTAATCAAATGCCACCTATATGTAAATATATCATTTTGAAAACAACCAACTTTTGTAAGTTAGGTTGTTTCTGGGTTGTTTTGTTTCTTCTGTTGTTGCTGTTTATTGGATTCTTTCTGTATTTAGTGTTAATCGTTTACTTAAAAAAATTCTTTTTGTTTTTAAGCTCTCTATGAAAAAGCTGATATTAAGGTGCCTGAAGGCCAGAAGAAACACCTCATTATTGGTGTATCCTCAGATCGAGGACTTTGTGGTGCTATTCATTCCTCAATTGCTAAACAGATGAAAAGTGAGGTGGCCACGCTCACAGCAGCCGGAAAAGAAGTTATGCTTGTTGGAGTTGGTGATAAAATCAGGGGCATACTTCATAGGTAATTTAAATATATATTTATATTTTAAAGGGGGCAACCATGTATAATGGAAGTTTCTTTAATAGGGTTTTTAACCAAGGTGGCATTTTTAATTATCTGGTTTATACTCACAGAGCAATTTTTGTTTCACATTTGTTCTTTACAGAATATATTACAATATCAATTTCCTTCTTTTCTGCTTGTCTTTTGCTTCTCCTTCCTCCAAACCATAAATTGAATACAGTGAGAATATCAAATGGTATTGGCATTAATCAATGAGAAGTTTTAGGAGGGCGCTCTGGTGGCATAGTGCCTAAGGCATTTGGCTGCTAACCAGAAAGTTGGTGGTTCAAACCCCACCAACCACTCCTCAGAAGGAAGGTTAGGCAATCTACTTCCGTAGTAATACCACCTTGGAAACCCAAGGAGTGGTCACTATGAGTCAGATCCAACTTGACAGCAGTGAGTTTGGGTTTTGTATCACAGCCTGGAAATACTAGAAATAAGCAATAGTTAATTCAGATTGGAAGGAGAAAAACTAAGAGAAATATAAAAAAAGAAATGCCTCATTTTTAGTCCTCAGTTCTTTGTTGGTACTGAGGGAAGGGAACAAGCATGATAATGTATGGAACAACTTAATTCAGGGAGCCCCCTCACCCCCAGATTTCACCCATGGTGATAATGTTTATCCTTCTTAACAACCTATGTTCTTTAAGCCACAAGTGTTTTGTTTTTATGTGCTCTCTTGATTTTCTTGAAGGACTCATTCTGACCAGTTTCTGGTGACATTCAAAGAAGTGGGAAGGAAACCCCCTACTTTTGGAGATGCGTCAGTTATTGCCCTTGAATTATTAAATTCTGGATATGAATTTGATGAAGGATCTATCATCTTTAATCGATTCAGGTAAGGTAAATTTTAAAAAGAAAAGCTTTTTTATGATCATGAACTGAATTGTTTATTTTTAAATAAGTAAATGTCTACTTAACAGTTTAAATAAAACTTATTTTGAAAATCACATTTGCTTTTGTCATTTCTAGGTCTGTCATCTCCTATAAGACAGATGAAAAGCCCATATTTTCCCTTAATACCATTGAAAGTGCTGGTAAGCAGTCTTTGTGTGACGGGTATTTTTGCTTGTACAGAGAAGAGATTTGTACATTAACCAAAATATCGTTTGTTATGGTGTTCCATTTAGTAGGAAGATGATCTGGGCTGTTGTGCTTTCTTAGTTCATTTGATGCTTATCAAATCTTAATCCATTCCTTCTTTGATTGAAAAAATAAATATATGTTGAGGATCATGATTAGACATGTTGCAATCTATATAAGGGAATTTTACCTAATTACAATTAGAAGCTCTAAACAGTGTTCTTAACTGATTTATCTTGACCCACTCAGTTTCCTTGTTTTATTGTTTGATACAAAATCATCATTGCTGACTGAAACATCCAAAAATAATATTCTGAAATAGATTTCATTTTTCTAAGGCTGCTTCCCTTTCTCTAGTCCATATTTCATATATTCTAACATGTACAGGCAGACCTGAGCTTATGAACAAAATCCATTCCTAACTGTGTCTTTAAGAATTTGTAGGTCAGTTGGAACAGATGCATATGGTTCTTATTTGTTGTTGTTGTTATGTGCCCTCGAGTCAAACCCGACTCATAGCTACCCCTCCTTGGGTTTCCGAGGCAGTATCACTACAGAAGTAGGATTGCCCAACCTTCCTTCCGAGGAGTGGCTGGTGGGTTCTTATTTAGCCTTACTTTAATGCAAGAAAAGGCTTGAAGCCTTTTGTGTGATTTAAAAGCTCCAGGTGAGGTGAGTGGAGGTGATTGTGATGAAAAATTTTTTGCAAGTAGGGGTTGGTTCAGTCTGTTCAAAGTGAGGGCAAATTTGCCTAACATTAAAGCCAGATTTCAAAGATAGCAGTGCCCTGCTCAAAGATGGTGGCCGACCATGCTGCTTTGAATGTATGTGGCTCTCCACAGTCCTACCAATAATCAAATCTCATATATCAGGCTCCTGAGAGGGCTCACTATGCCTCTTCCCAGTCTCCAGTTCCAGGGCTTTGACCTGTAATTTCTCCTGTTCTAGTTACCATGACAAATCGCCCAAATTATAAAAATTCCATTCTGTTCCTATTTTGCTTCACTGGTGATGACAGAAGTGCTACTTTAAAGGGCAAGAGCTCTGGTGGTACAGTGGTTAAAGCACTTGGCTGCTAACCAGAATGTCAGCTATTCAAACCCACCAGCTACTCTGCAGGAGGAAGATGAGGCAGTCTGCTTCCATAAGGATTTATAGCCTTGGAAACCACCCTATTGGGTAGTTCTACTCTGTTCCATAGGGTCACTAAGAGTTGGAATCAATTTGATGGCAGTGGGTTTAGGAGTTGCCTAAGTTGGACATCCATAACCTGGGGACTGCATGTATGCTCTTTTACATTTTAATGCCTCTGTAATTGGCATGCCTCTAACAGTCAATAGCATGCCATAGCTTTTATTTAGTAATGTTCTTTCTTTCTTAGTGGTTTGGTTATACCCAATAGCATCTTAAGCTTTATGAACAGTACTAAAACTTGACCCTAGTGCTGATAAATTTCTACAGCATAAAAACTAAAATTCATACCAGCTTCTAATTCTCCTGTTCTTTCATAGGCTTAGAAAAGTTTCCCTCACTCATTTACCAAACTAGCATCTTCAGATTTCCCCAATAAGCAAATGAATAAATTGGGATTTTTGTATGACACTATACTGGTTTTTGTTTTTTCTTTCTTTCTTTTTTATTTTTAAAAAAAGCATTTGCTGGCTGGCTTTCTATGGCACTCTTCAGGAGCTCTGGTAGCATACTGCCTAAGACATTTGACTGCTAACCAGAAGGCTGGTGGTTCAAACCCACCAGCCACTCCTCAGAAGGAAGATTAGGCAATCTGTTTCCGTAGAGATACCACCTCAGAAACCCAAGGAGGGGTCCCTATGAGTAAAATTGACTCGACTGCAGTGAGTTTTTTTGGGGGGTGGGGTATGGCACTCTGCTAGGTGCTATCCAGAGGACTTCATACCCGTGAAATTTGTAAAGTTATTTAAATGTTAGCTTCCTTATTTTTCTAAACAGTAGAAGTAAGATATCAAATATTTTATTTACACATTTTGCTGGAAATCTGGTGTAGTCTATTAGAACAGATTCTTTTACCCTATTTACATTGATTTTTACTTTTTAATTGTGTTTAACATTAGCAGGCTGTTTTTGATTAAATCAATCTTTGTTCCTTATAACTTCAAAGAAATTTATCATTTGTTTTAACAGAAAGCATGAGTATCTATGATGATATTGATGCTGATGTGCTGCAGAATTACCAAGAATACAATCTGGCAAACATCATCTACTACTCTCTAAAGGAGTCCACCACTAGTGAGCAAAGTGCAAGGATGACAGCTATGGACAATGCTAGCAAGAATGCATGTAAGATTGTGGGGAATGTCATGAAAAAAATTTTGTATGGACTGCTGTATGGGAAATTAACTTGCTCTGTAAACGTTCACCCAAATCACAGTAAATTTTTTTTTTAAAAAAAGAATGCATGTAAGCACATAATACATCTTTTCTGAGAACTGTTGCTGAGAAAAGCATGAAGACCCTAGCATCAAAAATAATAACATTCTTTAAATAGACCAGGAAGCAAGAGAGTTAGGATCTAGTCCTGGGCTCTGCCACTGATGCTATAAGTATTTTGTCTAGTTACTCTTTCCCTGAATTTGCTTACCTAAAAAATTAGAAATCTAATATTTTCTGCCTTGTAGGGAAATATTCTCTTACTTGAGAAAGTAGTAGGTTTGCAAATATTTTGAAAAAATATCCTGTAGAAGATGTAAAATCATTTCCATAAAATTTTTTGAAAGGCCAGTTACGTTATACCAGTGTACCCTAACAAGAGCAGACATACCTTAACTCAATTTCCTCTCATATTTTTTAATTAAGCAACGTACATCTATTAATGAGTTCATTAATAATATATGTTTTTCTAGTTTTAGATTTTGTTTTCTATTTTTGTCTTATTTGTAGCTGAGATGATTGATAAACTGACTTTGACATTCAACCGCACCCGCCAGGCTGTCATCACAAAAGAGTTGATTGAAATCATCTCTGGTGCTGCAGCTCTGTAAGTAATTATAGAGATCCTTCAGAGAGTTTTCTCATCTCTCCATTCTGCTAGTTTAACCTTTGGATGCTTGAAAGTTTTCTGTTTTGTTTTGTCTGTTAATGATGAAATGATCTGTTGTTTAACCTTGTAACTTTTCTCTGAGAATATAAAAACTTGGTGAAAACAGGATCTCACTAGTTTATCCTTAGTGTTTCAACCAGCTTAGTTTCTTCTTAGTATATTATTAGCTTTCCCTTTCCTAAAGCTTAGGTACAAGAATGTGGATAATTCAGTGTCATTTATACTATCTATGTTAAGGGAATTTAAAACATTATAAGCCAAGTAAATGAAGCTTTCTTAAATAAATTACCAGTTTTGGTTTTGTTTTCACTTGAATAAATCATGGAATAATGGTAGATGCTAGGAATTCTTTTTTTCTTTTTAATCAGTACCAAAAGGTAGTTGGAAAAAGGACAGGGAGGCCACATGTTGTGACCTCCTCTAATCCCACAAGAGGAAGACAGAATCACCATCAATAGCCCAAGGCCTATTCCTGCCAGGCCAGGCATGCTGCCTCCCTCCAGCCCTTTCTCCAACCATTCCTCCCAAAGCACCCACCACCTCTCTTCTGGGTTCGATAATTCGCTGCAGTGGCCACACAGAGCTCACAGATTATGGGGTTTATTAGGGAAGCACCACAGGCTACAATTTAAGTTCAGGAAAAAATGCTCAGTCTCTCTCTCTCAGCCCACTGTCCCTCAGCCAACAGCCTCTCACAGTCTCTTTCCCAGCAGTGCTGGTCCCTTAGTGTCTCACTCAGCAATGCGTGTCTCTTGCATCTCTTTCCCAGCAGCACGTGTCTCTTTCAGGAGCGTGTGTCTCTTTCAGCAGCGTGTGTCTCTTTCAGCAGCGTGTGTCTCTTTCAGCAGCACGTCTTCCTCAACCAGCAGTCAGAGAGATTCTGCCTCTAGGAGGCCTCCTTTTGAGTTTGACAAAGTAGCCAAACTAGCCAATCGTAGCATCAGAACTCTAAGCACCTGAGAGAGAACCTCCCATAACATTGCGTTGTGCCACGCCCAACAGAAATAACCCAGGTGGATAACATTTACAATCAGGAGCTCCCTCAGTTGCTCATTCCACCACTGAATTTACAATGACTTTTGGGTAGAAAAGCCATACTAAGTAATTTACTACACTGCAGTAGTATGCACCTTTCCTTAAGAAAATTCTTGGCTGTCTAGAAAATGAAATGTTTATGAAATCAAAATTAAGATAATGGGAATTTTGTTAAGAAAAAATTATTAAATTGAACATGCACTGTGTGCAAGTAGAACAGCTAGGCACAGTGGCATCTTAAAGATCAAGAATATGATCATTTCAAAGCATTTGTATTCTAACAGCATAAGAAACAGATAATTATGATTAAAATAAATAAATAAAATATGTTGTGGCTTGTTCATGCTCACCTCCAGCTGATTGGTTACCAAGTCTTACGTTCTGAATAGCTCTTGAATTTTTTCCCTTCTTTAGTCCCACTTCCTTGATTCAGATGCTTGTTATTTCTCTCTCAAATTAAACACTTATTTTTTGAGCATCTCTTAAGTGCCAGGCCCTCTATTAGATACTAATGATTTAGTATTAACAGTGTCTGCTCTCAAAGAGCTCACATCTTCACAGGGAGAACAGATGTTTAAGTTAGAAATTAATTCCGGTAGAGCAGGAGTCAGCAAACTTTAAGATTTAAGAATGTTTTTTACATTTTTAAAGGGTTGGAAGGAGGGCAAACCTGTATATGACCCACAAAGCCTGGAATATTTACTATCTGGTCCTTTATGGAAAAATTTTGTCAACTCTTATTTATGGTAGATCATTAATAAGGAAAATAATATAATCTATCCTTACTATATAATCAGGAGCTCTGGTGGCATAGTGCCTAAGGCATTTGACTGCTAACTAAAAGGTTGGTGGTTCAAACCCACCCGCCATTCCGTGAAGGAAGGGTGGGCAATCTACTTCCGTAAAGGTTTACTGCCTTGAAAACCCAAAGGGGGTTGCTATGAGTCGGAATCGACTCCGTGGCAGTGAATTTTGTTTTTTGTTTTGTTTTATTTACTACATAATCATCCTGCAAAAACAGCTTAGCATAATATATGTAATCCTATATTTTCTTGCCACCAACCCTCTCTCTAGTCTCTCTCTTACCACTACCATTTCTCACTCACCTTGAACTTCAGCCACATTGATCTATTCCAGTCCTACAGATATGTCATTTTTTCTTACCTCCACAAATTGGCATGTGTTGCTACTTTTGCCTGAAATGCCATTCTTTTCTTCCTGTTGGCCCCTTGATTCTTCATCTGTCTGACCCCTCGTTACCCTTCCTGAATGAACTTAGGGGAACCATTTCCTGCAGAAAACTGTCTCACAGGTTGAGTGAGTGCCTTCCTTTTCCAGCCTGTGCTTCCCTTGTCATAGCACTTAAAACATTTTATTAAGAATTGTCTTGTTTGTTTGTATATTCCTTGAGGCTGGGGAGACTATGTCTTACTCAATTTTGTGCCCTCATCACCTAGCACATATGTCCTTAATAAATGTTGGTTGAATAAATGATTGATGTGCCATAAATGTATTAAGAACTGGAAATTTAGGAGAGGGAGAAATAACATTTTATTGTGAACCATGGAAAGCTTCATCATTAAAGTGACGTTTAAATTAATCCTTAAAAGTATATCTCAAGAGTAGGAAGTGGATAGAATACCAAAGAGAGACAAATAAAACTGTTGGCACTAACAGAGACTGATGTATAAGTTATTAGTTGGCTCCATCAGCTTTGCTATCCTAAACACCCTTTGCTGTCTAAGCATGGCTTTGTTAGGACTAACCCATCTCTCAGCCTGGTCACTAATGTTGTATTAGCATGGTGGAGTAGAGTGCATATTGAATGGCCTACCACTTACTAGCTCAGTAAACTTAAGATTCTCTTGACTCAGTTTTGTCATCTATAGTTATCCTGCTTATTATATGCCCTACTGCTAAAGCTAAGCTGATATCTTCTTTGATGTTAGGTGTGAAAAGCCTGATGGAAAGAACTACATTCTGTAGGGTTCCTAAGGGTCAGTAGTTCAGAAGGCTGTGTGAGACACAGAGTATGCAAGTTTCTTTTTTTTTTTTTTTTGAAAAGAGAGTGCTAGAAATTAACTATGAGGACACAGCTTTGGCAAAATTGAGGACCAAGCTTTTCTTTCTTGGTTAAGAATGGGAAAACCTGACTAAACAGGAGCAAAATCAAAGGAAGTAAGAAGAGGGGAGATAATCGCATAAAATAGCTAGTTTAAAAAAAAAAAGTATTCGGAATTTGAGTAATTGGAAATGTACTTAAATTTTCACTCTCTAAACGTATAGTCTAAATCCTTACATAAAATGTTAGCTTGTTTAAAGAAAAATAATTAGCTTGCGTGGTTTTAAATTGGATTGTTTACATGAATGAATTTGCACAATTCTATCAATAATTCTGGCTAAGGACTTTAATATTTAAAACAAATAATTTTGTTATTTTGTAATAAAATGTAAAAACATGAATGAGTAATAATATTTGGAGTGTCAGGTATTAGTGCCAGCTAAAAGTTTCATGTTAATTAAACAAAAAGTAGAGATTTCAATTATACTTTCATGATCTTGCCTTCATGTATGAATGTGGTTTTATTGCTTCTTAACCTGATTGAGATCTATAACCTTTCATAACAATTACTAAATCTGTTCTAAAAAAATATATTTAGGTGAGTATTTATGTGATATATTCAAGATAATAGATAAGGAAATGGACCTTTTAAGTTGGAAATTGTATGTGCATGGATTGCTTCTTGACGTGCTTGTTTTGTTTGTCTTTTTCTTCTAATATAAAAACCAGGAATTAATGAAAATCAGGTGTCATCCTCAGACAAGAGGTAAAGTGGTAATATTTCACACATTCTCCCCACATCCCTCCAGAAAACAAACGTAGCCAATATAACTGAAGCTAGTTTAGAAATAATGAAAGTGTTTTTCTAAGAGATTTGAGTTGATAGGCCAGTTTATAGTAGTTGCCAGTTTGTGGGAGCCTGTGAGTAATGCTAGTGGGCTTTTTTTTTCTTCTTTTTTTCCAGATTTATAAAAGGAAATCTGGATTCAGTGGTCAGATGAGACATATAAGGAAATAAACTTTGAGGCTAGAGTATGAGTGCTTTATTTCTTTTTTAAAAAGATATTAAATACAGATTGGTTAAGAGTGGTGGTTTTAAAACTTTACAGTCTTAGGACCCTTTTACACTCTTAATGTCTGACTTAATGGAAGACAGCTGGATTCTGTTTTATTTCTGCAGTCTGTTGCAGTGTCATGCATCATGTATGCTCTGGAAAACCCACTGTACACTCCTGAGAATAAGAGTAAAACAGACAGTAATATTATGAAAATAGTTCTGCCCTCACTGACACAAGAAAGGGTCCACAGACCAGAATTTGAGAATCACTGGTGTAGAATAACATTTAATGACATATATCCAGTTCGCCAGTTTATTAAGCCCCACTTTAAATACTTATCATCTCTTCACAGTAATATTTTCCAAAAAATATTGTTTGATTTTTACTTCTTCTGTACTTTGTTTTTCAGGTAAAGAAGAGACATTAAGCCAACTGATTTTCTTATGCTTATTGCTGTTCTTGTCAGAAGACATTCTTGGTCCACTGTTCAAATTATTAAAGACAGCAAAATATTTGTAAATTATCTTACAATAAACAACTTTTAAAAAATCACTATTTTTTAATTATTTAAGAAAAATAGTAATGGTTTTTAAAGTGGGATACTGACATTTAAAATATTAACATGCTACTGTTAAAATTTTTTGATAAGAAGATTATTTAAGCAGCTTTTATGACCTTACAGTTCTCTGACAAGCTTAAAAAGTCTAGCTAGTCAAGGGTATATAAATGGAAGTAACAGGCTCAGCCCAGGCTTTCTTTTTCACCTTCAAAGAGCAGTCTACAAAA